TATATCAAGATAGCCATTTTGGGACAAAAACAACGTCCATTGGGTGTCAAGTTTCAGGAACATCAATAACTGATTCGAATATTCAGGGGCTGTATGAGGGAAACATGAGAAGGGGGAGAGGGGGTTGAGGGTCATGGCACTTGTTTCTGGGCGTGGGAGGATAGTGAAGTGAATATGAATGGAAAATTACATTTGTTAAAATATAAAGACTTACAAGATCGACTATGACCCAGGGAACCATTAGAGATGACACCGACCTCCGCAGAATCACACGATAATTTCTTGGCTGGGTTCATATGGGCGTTCATAAAGTTCACAATGAATAACTGTACATAGAACAAAAAGGTTCATCCTTCGTATTTTTATGGATTTGGGACCCTCTATTGGCGTAGTTCGAGGGTTGTATCATTAGTTAACAGTAACTACTTAAAAATAAGTAGTTTGGGAATTAGTTTTCTGTCATATTTGCATCTATGACTCCGCTGAGACACGTAACAGCATATTCGATTTGATATTGGCCATATTCTATCGTGTTAATATTTCTTTCTAGGATTCGCCCATTGCAGAGCCCTTGACCTTGAACTATCGATTCGAGACAATCCACTGTCGCTCTTCATGTCAAATAGGCTCTTCTTCAACTTTGAAGTGAACTACTTCATTCAATTTTGGCGACTCCATCACAAGACTTACCAACCCAATTTATCTCTAGAAAGGTATTGGGAGCCATGCAGACTATCGGCACTGACTGGCCGCGCAATGTACCGTGTTCTCTAGCCTTTTTGTAGCGATTTTTCTGCCCTTTTTCTCAATTTTATTATTATTATTTTTTTTAGATATTATAATAAACAAAGGGCTTTCGCAATATTTTAGAAACTAATTGAGTAAATTTAAATTTTCACTTGTATCTTATATATTATCTTATTCTTATTGATCTCTGACATCATAAAGTATCTGCCGGAATCGTTTTATTCTTTTGGGGTTACTTCAAATTTCTTAAGGTATAGCTGAGAGTAACGAGTACTTCTTGATAAATAAACTGCGATTGGGAATAACCGAAACATCGGCAAAAACTGAAGTGTCACAGTTAGGTATCAATACTCCGACCTTCTGCCAAGTCATATGAACCGGACAGAAATTGATAGTACTTCTCAGCCTCAAGTTTAGGGTCGAAGGCGAAACCATTAAAGGGATTGACCTCATAATTCTCTTGTGGATTCATTGTTACTCGGCAATTAGGTCTGTACAGTTGAAATATGTACCTTTAGTGCTTGCAGAGTGACAGATGGCCATGTCATTCAATTTCCGTACTGATACCAGTACTGGGAACATTTCCGAGTTTCCAAATAAATCTTTCCCTTAAGTTGATGATATTGAATAACATTCATTCACATGCAAAGAAATTTGACTGCGATATCCTTTTTTTAAATAGTTTCTCTGAAAACTAAAAACTCACTTCAGGGTCAAATTAACCCCAAATCACCCCTAATCACTCTACCTTGCAGTAAGTTCCCCTCACCCCCCTGCCCCATATCTTTCCTAGTACAAAGCTTATCAATGGACTCAGGAGACAAACCCGTAATGAACGAATGGGATAGAAAATTTCTGTATTTGATCCATCTCATGGATCCCTCGGAATCCCAGAATTTTAGATCCTAATAATTATGGTCTAGGGATAAGGTGATCGATGATGATGGCCTCGGTGATTGCTGCTCCTAAGCGGAATATTCTCATGAATAAGTTTTTTAAAATCACAAATTCTGAAGTGCTCTATTTCTACTCATTCATTCTTCGAGATTATTAGAGTCCATCTCATTTATCGAACTCGGTCCGATAGTTCCTGCTCTAGGGACACGTCTACTTACTTAAAGAAACAACACTCTATGGTTGCTAAGCAACGATGAGTTGCATAGCAACCAGACAAGTCAAGCGTTAAAAGCCCACACAGTTCCGTGACGCACTGCCCATCGAGCAGACGATTAATCATGGTCTCAGATTTGTACCTCTTCTCGTGCAAAAAGATATCAGCATTATATACCAACAGTCCTTCTGTAATGGTACATATTCAAGGACACATTGTTAATGCAATTTTAAGTGTCGAATGATTTAGTTGCCATCCTGCATTTAAAAGAGGCAATTTTGTCCTACAAATCTTACTAATAGGAGGTACCGCAGCGTGTAACACGCATTTACTACCACAAGATGAATGAATGAATGAAAAGCAGACTTTTCAGAAATACAATGCTACAAAGAAAGAACCGTCACGAAATAAAAATGGAAGAAATTTATGAGAATACGGGATAACGTGAAAATAATTCACGGGATACATATAGAAAAAAAGGACTGGACGGAGGGGAAAGGATAATGGCTTTTGTGGGGGATGAGCAGACAAGGAAGGCCTCGGTCCTTTGTTTCAAAGGGAGTGTGGGAATGTGAGAGGACAGGAGTCCCATCCCCATCTCCCCTTGGCCCTGGGCGGAAGCGGAGGGCTCTCGGGTATCCCCCTCTTGCCCCCTGCTCCACCCACCCCTCCCCTCCTTGGGGGGAGGAGGCAACAGGTGTTCCACACCAGAGGCCACATATACAGTACAAGGAGGAACAGGTGGCCTCCCGACTCCAAGATAGATTACATCGCCCCCTTCTTCCGATCCCCCTTATATCTCCTTCATCGCATCTTTTAAAGTCTCATTTTCTCTTTCTTTATCCCCCTCTGTCTTCATACGTGAATGGACCGGATCACGGGTTCCCATCGACTTTGCGTTGACTCCAGGTTCTCACGATAACAGTCCACCTCATTTTTTATATTTTAATTTTACCGCTTACTTTCCTTACTTGCCGCTGCACCAGAATCAGAGTTGAATATGCACAAAAACGCGTGTCTGGATCATGGTCAGAGGGAGTGGCGTATCAGTCCCGGAAAACAAGGACGAAAATGGGATCCCGAAATTTCGCCCCGGAATCGTGAGAACGGCTGGAGGCGACGTCCCCACGCAATCGGAGCAGTAGAAGAAGAAGGAGGAGGAGATGATGATGATGATGACATGACTGGAGGGGATAAGAAAGAAAAGAACAAAAGAAAAAAGCGAACAGGGGAGGGTTTCAAACCCAGTAGCCTTGGGACGCGGGGCAGCCCCCCCGAAAACATGAGTGGGAAAAAACCAAGCCCCGACAAGCCAGCCCTCTCTCTCAACCAAGTCCAGTAGCAATCAGTTTAATTAGCAACAGGGGGGAAAGAGGGAGAGAGAGAACCTGCGCATATGCGTCTGCCTGGGAAAATTTTAACCGTCAGCATGCCCCGAAGGCATACCGTGACATCACAAGCCCTCGGGGCTGTCCGATCGATGGGAAGGGGATGACCATAAAACAAACGACCATCATTCGGTGAAGCCTGGATGCAGACACAAAGGAAAAGAATGGCTCCTCCAATCAACCTCCCCTCCAAATATGAAGGGGTAATTCCCACCCTCCCAGTTCCCAGGCTGCTGGACACCCCCTTCCATACTGCACTTGTACATATCCTTCACAACAACTTCCATTGTTTTCAAAGCATCATGGAATGAATCACAGAATTAAATTAGATCTTCCCGCACTCCGCCTTCTGAGAAGATGCGGTTATCGTAACCCGTCAGCATAGCTAGAGAACAAGGACACTGGCGATCATCCACTGATGTCACTCTATCCTTCTCTGCGTGCGCAGACTTTCTTACTCACTTCAACTTACTCCACAAATGAAAATTTTCATATGAAACATAATATTTGCCTATATTCCGCTCAAACGCGACGTGAAAAATCTTTATCTGTCAAAAAATTTCGCACATATAAAGGCTTTGGATAAATTTTTAAAACAGGGCACTAAAATCCTGTCAAAAATGAACGGTACCTACTCGTGGCTCAACCAAACAAAAGTAAAAAATAAAACTCTAGTCCTGTTGCAGTACCACATTACTGAATTTCACCACTGGACTCTTCATAGAGTCTGAGATGTTTTGAAATGAAACTTCCATAAGAAAGGGGGGAATTCATTCCATGCAATCTCGCTTTCGTTGAGAAGCGGCGCAGAAAGAAAAATAAAAATAAACGCAGACGTGCTTGTATGGCATTTTAAAAGGAGGTTCTGATTCCGTTGAACTCAATCGAGCACAGCATAAGAGGACGTGAATGAGAAGTTTCTAGTAAATGCCAATAGACCACCAGGGACGCCATGTACGTGTATGTGCGTGTGCGGCGTATATGAACAACAGGAATGGAATAGCACGGCAGAGGGGTAGAACGCATGATGGGAGAAGAAGGAATGAGCAAGTGGAGGAAGGGCTTTGAAATGAACTGGAACGAATCGAGGATTCGCAACCAGGTCACTGACGCGATCCCTAATCCTAACCAGTCACGTCCCGTCCGCGCACAAACCAGCATTCTTACCCCTATGAAATCTGCCCCTTCATTTCACGTATAGAAACCGATGTTTCCTACCTCGTAGTCCATGTTCAGTAGAGCCAAAGGAACAAACTGTGAAGAAGACTGAGCCTGAACTGCGTCATGTTTCCGGTCCTCGGTGCCCTGGAACCCCCGAGGACATTATCAGGGCAGCCCCAACGGGCCCAGAGAGACTGTCCAACCGAGATTAGCGACATACTTGCCCATTTCCGGTCGACCGAAGGAGATTGCGTTTAGCTGTATGCATGCAAAGCCTTGAAAAACACTGATAAATGAGAAACAACCCAGCCCCCTGTAATACCGCGAGTGTTTACGCGATGCGAAACGAGGGAGGTCATGATGTTTGGATATCTTCCAGCGGAGCATGAAGAGAAGTAAAGGAAACGAAATCGAAGAGCATACTTTCTTTCTTTCTTTCTTTCTGCTCCGCAGAGAGACAGACGTTCCACTGTCACTTTCAAGTTCACCCTTCCTTCGCCTGCGTCATGCATGAGCAAGATGCGGCGTTGCACAAGAGAAGTCATACGTGGGTTTGAGGTCTCTCGGTTTCAAGGACAATGCTACGACCGGCGTCATCGGTCTGTTCGAGCCGCCGCTTGTTGCTTTTCACGGAATTTTTGCGTCAGAGATAACACAGAGAGGGGCAAACCTGTGGAATTATCGGGGTCTGACAGGTCGCTGATAGAGGGGACTTTCTGAAAGTTTGGATCCCCATTGCAATCGGAATTCTCATCTTGAGGTTCTTGCTTGATGCAGGACTCTGGCGGTGGGTCCAGCTGGAAGCGTACCTGTGAATTAAAAAAACTCCAGCAATGAGTCACATTAATTGTACTCTATTTAAACTAAATGAACATAGCAAGCTTAAAAAATTCATGATAGCAAAATTCTTCATTCAATTCACTCAGTTCAAAATCTGACATTTTAAAAGATAGACTCACCCGAAGCTCCCTCTTGGTCCTCAATGACATTTTCTGAGCCTCAGCTGCGTAAAATTCCGTTTCAGCTATGTGCTGCTCAAAGTGGAAGTCTGGGAAGAAGCCGACATCAGTTTTGTGATCCATCGACTATTACAAACACATATCACAATATAGCAGTGCTAGAAAAATATCTAAGGATAAAAAAAGAAATGCATCAAAAAGTTTTCTATAGGCATCAGCATCCCTCTGTGTTATTTCAAATTTCTATAATTTTCTATCTTAGCAGCAAGCACAAAAAAATCAAAGGTTTCAGAAAAATGCACACAACTAATCAAAATGAGGCAAGATTCCTAACTCTTCCAGAACTTGTCATATACCTTGTAGCTGGATGCCACAAGTTAATAGTAATTTCAATCTGGGCCCACTTGTCTAGTTGCATGCAATAAGTTCTCATTTTAATATGTAGGTCAAACTAGTAAGATTGTCTCCCAGTAATAAGTAATAAGTTCAGAATTAATTTTTGCTCTGAGAGTGTCTTAATCCATGCAAAAAAGCCAAAGCTGCATGCCTCTAACATGAAAATGCTGTAAGAGTATTTATTATTTGTCTAGGTCTACACAGCTTTCAGATTGAATCCATATCATCTCCCCCCGTAGGATTCCATTGATTGCAAATAATGACATCTTTCACATGGGTGGTTCTATGCATTATCTTTTTGAAGCAGATTCTCTGGAATTTGTGTTTCTCTGATCTCCTAAGGGGGAGGGGGGGGGGGGACAAATTCAATCTGAGATGTGTCGTACTTTAGTATTAATGTGTAATAAGATTTATGTCATTGATATTGGAGGATATTGAATATAGCTCACACTTTTTTGGTCTATTACCTACATACAGTAGCTAAGAGTCTTTTTCTGTCAAATCAGTGTCAATCAGCAATGAAAGAAGAAAAACTAAATAATTGGGCCAACAATAAAATGTGATGTATTGACAGGCCTGATGTGTCCTCAATGAGCTCACACTATCAGCAAAAACTCATGATTTTCATTGGCCTACTCAATTTAGCCTAGCAAATTTTCTAAGCCTAATTTAAGGTGAACCTATCAAGATGCAGCCTAGGCCTACTCCAGTCCTTAAAAAAAATTTATAAGCGTTATATAAAATTAACTTGAGAAAGAGTAGCCTAACGTAAGCCCTAGGCTTAGGCTAGCCTACGTAGGCGTAATTAGTTTTTCTGGTGATTAGGCCTGTGCAGAGGCCAACGGTTCAAGCCGATGCTATCCTAGGCCTACTCGGCTAACGTTAGGCAAGGCCATGGCCGAAACCAATGCTTACGAACTTGGCTTCACCAACGGAATACTGGCCTGGGCTTAATATTTGCCCATGCCGATATGGGCTGCGGGCAATGCCTGACGTTAGGGTTATGACCCAGAGTTGGAACGTTAGCCTAGTCCACCGTTGGGAGAGGCCTAGGCCCATCTTATGGGCTGTCGATCTTGAGCTAGACTGAGCTAGACGGATATAAACACATAACCTAGATCTTATAATGAATAAATCCAGAGGAGTCGATAAATTAGGAAGGAGGAACACGTGAAAGAAAGGCTTGGACAGCCGGGAGGACACGCCACATGATCCACTCACGTTGAGTCATTCATGAAAGACGGGGGAGGAGAGGAGAGAGGTACAGAGGGTGCTCGCGTCGCCCATTCATGCACTCCGTCGCGATACAAAGCCGTGAGTAAACTCACGGTTGCCACATCCTCGGCTCCGTACCTCCTCATAAAACGTCGCAGTATCTATCGATACACATCGAGCCCTATCGCTTATCTAAAGCGTAGGGGGGTTAATGCCGATAAGCCTAGCAATCCGTGCTCGGCGATCGCTCTCTTCTCGAGATGAAAAGTTGAGTAAACAAGATAGACGTTCGGGCATCTGCGCGGATATTTTCATTCTTCTTTCCGAGAAGGAGACGCTCCCAGGTTCTTCGCCGAAGGAAATAGCTCACGGCTCGCCCTTCCTCCCTCCTTCTCCCCCTCTCTTTCCCTCTGTGAAGGATCAAAGGAGTGGGGGATCCCAATGGGATCGCCATGAAGCACGTTGTCGCGTGTGACGGAGTCGGACCGGAAACCAGCCGTCCTATCCATTCCCTCGATGGCCTTCGTACCCGGCTCTGGACTCATGCCATTCCGAAATCCCATATTATTATGGACCTTTCCTTATCTCACGGCCTAACAGAACTCGTATGTCATTTCTTCGTCGACCTTCCCCATGTCACAAGGCGATTGCATTTCGTGGGGATTTCGAAGTCCGTCCCGCTTGGGATTTCGTCCCGTCCATGGCAACCGACACAACAGGCGAAATACCAAGCTTTTCGAGCTCGAAATCGACTTGAAAAGGACGCAACGGAATTCCGATCTTTCTCCCATTCCGTCACCCGATAAGACCGTACCAGAACAAGAAACGCGATATCGAGGAAGGGCGGAAAGAATGCGGGAATCCGAAACTGGGTGCATTCCGACGGAATCCATGACAACAAAGCCCCTTTAAAGGGACGACAAAAGGCACGACAATGGAATGGGATACAATAAGCACCAGCCCATCATAATAGTAGAGCACGGTCACTACCGACCATTGATGCATCGAGACCATCGCCTGCGGTCGACAGCGTCTGACGTCTAACGGAAAAGGGCCCAAAGCACAGTTCCTTCAACTTCCATAGATGTCGTTTTAGGCCCTTTGCGCCGCTCTTGGTAATGATGGCCGTGTCCTGCTTTTCTTTTCTTCATAACAACCTTTTGTGTCGCAGCCACGATATGGAAATGTTGGCATCGAACCAAAACCGCGTCCTCACGTGTGACATCGAGCCTACAAGTCCCTCCCTCATTCGGTCAAATCGGTGTTAGTCTTCTGCCGAGAGAAACACTCGCGCAATCGATCGCCGTTTCTCGCACCCATCGTCGTCTTCGAAGCCCAAAATAAGTGTTTGGTCAATGGCCGAGCCTGGAGCCCCCCGGGGCGATCGCATTCGATCACGGACGATCGAACGAACGAATCTGGGACACGTGCAAAAATACATAATAATGAAAGAAAAGGGCCAGGACGTTTAGCTGGGTCAATACCTGGAGCGACGAGCGAGGAATTGTTGCTGACGTGCAGCCCGCCCCATGCGCCGGCAATTTTTCATGAATTCATGCGTGATGGATCCCTCGCGTGACGTCTCCGCGACCGAACAAATACCCCGAAAAATACTCCATGGACATGAAATAATACATATCCCTGGCCGGGGGGACAATCAGCCCTCAGACCCGCCGCCCTTCTGTTTCTCCCTCTCATTTTATGACGTCACGGAAAACCACGCGCCCCCGTTCGCTCCATAGGAAGGAAGAAAGCACTCACCGCCTTCGCTAATGCATCGACCGACGCCACAACGACGTCATCCCTCGAGGATTTTGCGAAATTAAATCGAGAGATGAAGACGGATGGGCTCCTCGCGTCGCGCGACTCACTGCAACGAACGAGCGTGAGAAGCGCGGATGACGTCACGAGCACCCCCTCACGAGAGACATCTAGCGCCGGTCGAGCGAAGGTCTCCAACGGACGAAATTTCGTCTTCTTTTTCTCGTTTCCTACAGGCTCGGGCGGAAAATCCGAAAAGTTCCTGGAAGAGGAATAGGCCAGAAAAAGCCTTCCAGGAAAAGAAAAATCTCGCTGCATGCCAGATTGGATTCTAAATATAAAAAAAAACACACAAAAACCAAATGTCTTCTCCGTGAGTTCTGATACTAAAAATTTGAGATGGCGGATTTTCATTTCGATTCTCCGGGATTACTAACTGCACATACGATTGCAGCATAAAGTCATTAGTATTTAATGAAGAATTTCTGATACCAGCCTTTATGCATTTTAAATTTTCATCTTTAAGACTGTCTACATTTTACATGACTAGCTTTTTGCATTTAACATTTTTATATTTCTTCCTCCCAACACCCACATGGTATTTTTAAAAATTACCTTTCATAATTGCACAGAGCAAATCTCGCGTCTGGAAACAGGTTTTACGGCTCAAATAATGTTCTTCCTTTTTGTTCATGCACGTTTGCAGTCGCTTCATTCTGTCCCTCTTTATAATCTTTCGAAGAACCTTGGCTTGCACAAGAATGATCTTTTCCCTTTTCTGCCTTTTTCTGCCGTCAGAGACATTGTTCGGGGTGATATTCACACGCTTCGAACATATACTACAAACAACACAAAACAAACAGGAATCAAAAGCAAAAGACACATGTTTTCAGACTTCGGATTCACCCTGTATAACGAGTCCCCCCCCTTCTCCCCACCGACGCTCTGGAAAAAGTACAACACAACCTCAACACACAATTAATCTTTCCTCATGCCTACATAATATACTCACGAACTCATTGTTAATTTCCCATCACAGCATGCTCCACAACCCACAATCCCCCCCCTAGCGCCAAACATGACAAGTGCCCCCACTTCCTCCCCCTTCCCCTCCTTCCTCTCTACCTCTTAAACGCGCAACCCGAGATCCCCTCAATTATTACTCAGAAGCAAACCCGAGAAGGAATGAAAAAGCAGCATCGCATGCATACATCACTCTCTCATCTCCCCTCCCCACCCTTCCCCCTTTCCCCCCTTTCCCCCCTTTCCCCCCTCTCCCCCCTTCCCCCCAGATCGAAAGGAGGCGGGCGCGAGCTCCTTCAATTATTCTCGTTCCCCCCTTTCGCGTCTGGCTCATTTGAATGTGATTGAAAATTCGGGATCCCCCCTGGCCTCAGCGTGGCGCTGCGCCTCTTCATATCTCCATCTTTCTTCTTCATTACATCCACCTTGTGGATCCTGAATTCTCTTTCTCTCCTCCGAGAGAAGGAACACTTACATCCTTTTAATATTTTTAGATCCATCCAGATGCCTCTTCACCTCCCACCCGGGAAGACTGTCTATGGTCTATGACCTTGATCTTTACAAGGTCTATGACCTTGATCTTTGCCCTTTTTTTGCCGAAGAGCCTCGAATGTAAAAATGCTACTTGTTTATGCTTCGCTTCATTCTTCCACTGCTTTCATTAAGCATCTCCATCGATACTCGAAAAGTAATCTGCATAATTGCACAATAATTGCAAATAATCCTCGGCAAATAATCCTGGACGTTGCCCTTTCCAAATCGCTTCCATTACCCGCTCAAGCACCCCCCAACGCCCCCAATTTCTCAATCTCATTCGACTGATGGAACAACCGCACACTTCCCTTCCACTAATGCGATCACAACCGAGTACTTTCCAGCTAGTACTGTTCCTCCTCGCCCATTCTGGAAGAGAAGGCGGGAAGAAAGGGGAATCCGGACAAGGGAAAGAGACTTGGCGTGGATCAAAAGCTCCAACTAGCATGTAATCCGATTCCCCCCTCGCTTTGTCCCTCGGCCAAAATCATTACGACATCATCATCATGAACATGATCATAAAAGGGCAGAGGAAAGGAAAAAAATGGCCTTCCCGCTTCACAATCGGATCATTGAACAACAATGAGAGACGAAGACCCCCGGTCTTCTGGCCCCCGTGCCAGATGATACGTCCGCCCGAAAACTCCTCCCATTCATCATACCTGACGAAGCATGCAACCCTGCTTCGAATCGTGCAACCCCGCTCCCCCTCTCCATGGCAATAAATCGCCAGTAAAGGTCAATTCAGGTCATGCAAGTCCTTCTTCCATCAAAGGGCCCTCGGATTATAAACCAACGACGCCCCGTGCATTTCCTCGACCGAGAATCACCCGCTTCCACTCCGGGTAAACGCCAACGGCAACCGGAGCCGAAACGGCGACCGGACCCAAAACGGCAACCGGATCCCCAGTGCAATCGTTCTCCATGACCTTGGGTCCCCACGGGACCACTCCCCATATTATTGACAGCTCTCTGGGAAACATCAGTGCCCCTCTCTCTAAATCAATCGAGACGGCGAACAGGCAGTTTCTCAACACCTACAATCAAAGTGCACCGGGTCCAAAAGGGTCTCAATGCCCATAGGGA